CCTAAACACAAAGGATATTGTATAGTATATACCGTGTTGGATTAATAGAGCTATTTTTGCAATTGTGGACTATAGGGAATATTTTGAAAAACACAAATGACAGTTAGATGCTTAATTTTCACTGGCTTTCAGTGGAAGTTTAGTACCCATCTGCCATATGTACCTTTGAAAATATTTCCCAGACTCATTAATTAGTGAAAAGTATGAGAAACACAAATGTATTTCAGATATGTCTAAGCATTTGTAATTTTTACATGTACAGTGGCAATTTATACTCCTCTATCGATTATGATTTAGAGGTAATTTGTTCTTCAAACTTAAAATAAAAAAGAAGCATTTTCAAACAAAATATCAGTTTTCTTGTGCCCAGAAGATAGCAGTGCAGTTTGGTTTTTTGAATAGGAATAAAAATGGAATCGAAGATATCTTTTGTAAACACAACTTTCTTTTTGCATATTAATTTCACTCAAAGCATATCTCTGGGTATTTGGTGTAGTTATTTTGGGTTTTTTTCATTGAGTCTGGAAATGTACTAGGTTCAAGCATCTCAACAAGATTTGTGGTCATTCCCTTTGCTGATACTTCAGTGAAGAGTTAGAGGGGTGTTGTGCTTTGTATTGAATGGTATGATTAAGGTTCTTCTGCTTATCCTAGGTGGTTGTCCTGTGGAAAGTTGTAACTCCCATTACACATGTGTGGTGCCCTGGCCAACATTCCCATTCTGCATAAAATAGGCTATGATATAAAGGCTATGAAGTGTATAGCCTATTGCTTGAGTGTAAAATGGCAGATTTTCTTTCTTACGCCTTCACTTTGTATTCAGGGGCCGCTCTAGGCACCAGCAAAGCAAGCACGTGCTCGGGGCAGCCCACTTGAAGGGGCGGCAGGGATCCAGCATGGGAGCTGAGAACCAACAGGGGGCCCTGGGATCTGTAGTTCCTTGGTTAGCTCCCTGCCTATAGAGCCAGCCCTGGAGCAGGGAAAGAACTACATTTCCCAGCATTCCCTTGGCCATTACCAACAGGAAAGAGGGGGAGGGAGTGAGGAAGCTGAGACCTCATGCTGCAGCCTGCTGTGAATGGAGAGCTGC